TTACAGTCCAAAGACAATTTCTGTGGTGTATTATTAGGCTGTGGAATAGGATGATTGCTTTCCTCCAACATATTTACACAAACAAATGCGTAAATGCATTTGTAATGCGCCTAAAATAATAGGTATTATTGTTATATATATTCCTTTTGGTGTTAATTTTCTATCAGTAACTTTGAAAGCAAAATTTGAAAATATTTATAAAACAGAGAGGCTTGGCAATCCTGAATTAATTAGGGTGACCAACTGTCCTGGTTTGTCCAGGGCCAAGGGGTCCCTAGGACTTCAGTTTTAAAACCAGGACAGTCCCAAGCAATTTTAGTATTAAAACCAGGACAACCTCAGGCTAATGGGTACAGATGATCATCCTAAACCAAGATGAAATGGTACTGGAGTGAAGACAGTTTTAGGAGAAGGAACTTGTAAAAAAACTTCAGGATTTTCCAAATTTCTCCTCTTTCTACTTCCTCAGCCCCACGTCACTGTCAGGCTAATTAATGTTAAGGACATTCATCTTTCTGAATCCAGAATGAAGACAAGAGCAACAGTTGGGATTCCTGCAAAAGGCAATGCAGGGAGGGGTTAAGGGACTGAGCTCTGCATCTAATAGTCTGGATTCAAATCCAGGCTTTACTGTTTATTAGGTGAGTGATTTTGTGCCTCTGTTTTCTCAAATATGAATGGAAATAATAATGTCCAATTTGTAGGGTTACATGACAGTGCCTGCCATGCATTAAGAGTTCAATGACGTTAGTTATTTTTATTGTGATCTTGATTAGGATTAGCAATTTAGAGCAAGCCTATATGTCTACCGGTAACAGTAACTTCCATATCTAGATACTTGGGGGTACTTGTTACTGCTACCAATTTAATATAAAGGGTGTCTTCCAATGCCCCAAAAGCTTAGCTATGGTTTTTGTTTGCGTGCTTCTTGCAGTTCAAGATATGTACATGAAATGGCAGAAGAAAATTTCAAACTTAGGACTGTTCCAAGAAATGTTCCATTAGTGGAAGGGACAACTTGATTACAAAATTTTCACAGTTCATTTGGGGCAAATTATATTTTTAGTGGCGGATATAAACTGTACAAATTTAATTTTTTTAATAGCTAGTATCATGATAAAACTGCATTATTGAATATTATATTAGACAATTCTGAGATTTTATTAAGGAAAGAGTGATAATAATTTTCATTCACGAGGGTTGGGGGCAAAATTGAAGGGCATCCATATGCCACAAGTTGGTCTGGCTACTGGTAGAACTTTGCTTCTATTACAGTTATGACAAGGAGAGACTGCTGAAAAGTTAGGTCGTGAGTTGACTATGAAATTCTAGAGTATTAACTCGGTTCCTTCAAAATTGCATTGTTCTCTGTTTTAACATCTAACATCAAGACGTCATCTCAGATGGGTATTGGGAGAGCTCAGTATGTGTTATTTCACTCCACTTTATTCCAGATCTGAAAGTAGACTTATTCCTGATCTTTGATCTTAAAATTTAGCCAATTAAGTTTACTATGAGACACATAATAAAATTTGTCTGTTGAAATTTAACTGCAGGACATTGATATATGCTAGGAATAAATTTTTACATCAAATTTATTCCTAGCATTTACCAAGTACAATGCAAAAGATGTTTAAGAAAATAATGGAATCACTCAGAAGGTTGAGATAGAAAATCAGGTCTATCAAGACTTAAACAATCTTTCAAGATCATCATAGAAAAACTAACTTAAAATATTTATTTTGACTTCAAGAACAGACAAGAATAGCCTAGATTTCTGGATTTTGCCTATACAATTATAAAGTATTTAAGGGAAAATTAAATTATTTTTCATAATATAGGCTAATATAATTCTTATAAATGAATACATTTTTATACCTTGAACATCTTTTATTTTATTTTTAAAAAATATATCTTTATTGAATTCAGAGAGAGAAAGAGAGATAGAAACATCAATGATGAGAGTCATTGATCAGCTGCCTCCTGCACGCCCCCCACTGGGGATGGAGCCCGCAATCCGGGCATGTGCCCTGACTGGGAATCGAACCTCCATCGCCTGGATCCTAGGTCGATGATGCTCAACTGCCGAACCACGCCCGGCGGACAACCTTGAACATCTTTTAAAGTATAAGTCAACTGCAATGGTCATTTTGCTTTCTTTGCATTTATTACAATAGATTTCTGAATTTCAATATGGGATTCATCATGGAATATATTTTGTATAAGAAGACTTCCATTTAAAATGAAAATGCCACATAGGATATATCCTATGGTTGTGTGTAGATATGATAGTTTAAATAGTGCAAACAATTTATATAATTTAGTGTAAAAAAACCAAACAACCCTCACTTTTGTTCAGAAATACCTATTTTTTGGTTGCAGTACAATTGTTTATTTTGAGGAAAAAATGCTTTTATTTCTATTTTAATTTGTACATGTAGACCGACCTTCTACTTTGTGTAGCTCAAAGACATTAAGTAACCCAACTTAAGCCTCAAATGAACCTTACAATATAACCCTGCTTAGGAGTTATCTAATGATATTCCTTCTATATTGCTTCTGATATATTTTTAGACATAAACTCTTGGCCTCATGGACTCCTATAATAGATTGATAGGAATAGTCATTTAGTTTTAAACATTTTCCCATGGAATCAAAGAATTCCGTAGGTTAGAAAGATAAGAATTTGGCCTTTTGCCCAGGAGAAAGAAAATATCACAGAAGCTCTTTTAGAATAGTGTCAGTTACACAAAGCTATAGTACTTCTTCTTGGTTTAGTTTTAATTAACAACAATTCAGAACTATTATTTCCTGCGATCAGTATTGGTAAGTTATTCATGTTTTGTGCATTACAGATGAAAATGTTTTGGGAATTAACCACTTTATAGATTACACGTTCATGTTGGAAAGCAGAAAAATTAAGTGTCTTATGTCATCTCTACTAAGAATTAGATCATAATCTGTGTGGAGGAATGTTTAGGATCACACAGCCTTTGTCATTGACACCTCTTTAAGCCACTTGAAATCACAGAGCTTGCTAACTTGCTGTGGGCTAGTTTCTCCCTCCCNTTTTCTTTTTTGATACTAATATATGTGTCCTTGGCTAATTCGGAGTCCAGCGAATAGTTCCAGATTGCAGTGCAGTTTTGAACTATTATTGATCTGCTTTGGTTTAGTGTGAAGTAATGGGCAGACAGAGCTTTGAGGTTTATATCATTCAGTGCCCCAAACAGTAATTAGAGGGCTGTTGATAAAGATGCTATGAAATTGGATGAGCTGGTGAAGATTTAGATAAATATTAGAAATTTAAGTAAGTATTAAGTAAATATTTGACGATTCTAAACATGCGTTCCAATGATGTCAGAATTCCTCTTGAACAGAAAGGATGCTACTTAATTGTCATCATTTTAGGAAATACTGAGTGGACAGGGATGGGGTGAGGGTGGCCAGAGGCCGGTGGTATAGGCCCCTTCTCTGTGATTCCCCCCCTTTTTCAGAGCATGCGTCTTGCTCTTCAAGTGCAAGGGTACAGACCTAACAGCTTGGTTGTCGACAGGGAGGTCATATTTTTAAAGGCTTGGTTCAATTTTAGGATGAACTTTTTGGACATCAGCAATAATTTTTTTTTCTCACCCCCAACCCTCCCCCACCCTAAAAAGAGTTCATTATCCTGAGTTTGGAAAAGGGGGAAAAGGGGAGTAATTAGCAGGAACGGGCAGAGTGGCAACGCTTAGGGGGAAAGTGTCAGAAGCCCCCCTCCCCTCCCTTTCTCCCCC